GCTAATTATTTTAGGCCAAGAAGCCGCCCAGTTATTTTGCTACAATGGCAACTAAAAGCAGTTAGGTACCTTCCTTTCTTCAAGACTATGTTAGAGGGGTTTATCAGCAGAAAACACAACGGGGATGTGTTTGACAAGCTCTTTTGTCAGAAATAAACTGCAGAGATCGGGTTTTACAGAGCTCAGGTTTTACAGAGCTGATTTCATGATTTTAGTACTTTCAGTAGTTCAGATTTGTGTTGGTCACTTTTGTGCATTTATAATACAGCTGTTGAAATCACAGAGGAATATATACACATCAGGGAGCGTATATATATATCTATATAAAGACTGTTTCTTAGCATTTATACACCAGTGCTTTGTTCAGAAAAGGCGACTTCAAATGCTTCCTTTCTGAAATTATTCCACACACCAATGGAAACCATGTTGTCTAAAGGATTTGCTGCTGTGACATTTTACCGCTTGGCCTATATTATACTTGGAATAAATTACTTATATTTCCTTTACAGAACCAGTTTCACCTTATATTCTCCTGAATTATGCTAAGCAATCCCTTCCATTTCTTTGTTGTTATACCTCTGAAAGGATGGAAGGTTTTTTGTTGTTGTTGTTTTAGGTGAACTGTCTCCATCACTTCCTCATATGTGAGATGCTTTGGCTTTTTGATGCATTTTGTGGGATTTCTCTAAATTTCTTCCATTTTAGGTGTTCTCTTACAGTAATGCCTTGAAATATGACTACTACAATGTAGCTTAACGTCTTTTGCTAATCTGCTTAGAGAAGCCTAATATTCCAGCATTTATTAAATAGACTGGACCGCATTGTATACCAGCCAGAGAAGTCCAATTTGTATTGATCTTAAAATAGTATAATTTGGATACCTCAGGTGATTGCTGTTGTTGTACCACAGCAGGTTACCTTTCCAGGCTACACTCAAAAGCGTCATGCTTTTTAAAGGTTCAGTCACCAAACTGTTTGGCCCTGATCCAGGAAAGTGAGAGCACAAACTTTAAGTTTTAAATAGCCTCACTGAAAATAGCTATCAGTACCGACAGGAGTGGTCAGGGACATGCGGAGGGACAGTGGTCAGTGTTATCCTAGGGATTCAGCTAAGGGCTTCCAGAGCTGCTGTACGAGCTGCCACTGCTGGAGCCAGAGAGACAACTTGCTGCAGAAGGGAGCCATAGCGAGTTACAGACTCTGTTGATAATGTCATGAAAAGCGGTAGCCTGTCTTCACCACCATTTGCATTGCTGGGTCAGAGCATCTTTATTCAGCATTTTGGAAGACGATTCCTTCCCATCAGAGCGCATAGCCCAAGCAATAGTGTTGGGTAATGTTACTAAGCACATAGAAATGCTTTCTGTCCCCACCCATGTTTCCAGTGCCATCCTATATAGAGCCTGTTATAGTAAGTTGGTCTTTTAGTGCTAAAGACTGGTAAGTCCAAAAAGAAAAAGCTACCCAGTCTTCTTTAAAAAGCAGTTATAAGGTACTGGTCTTACCAAACTAAGACAAGTCTCTTTCAAAGTAGGCCATGTTTTAGGCGTTTGTCTTTTCATCATTTGGACATATTGTTTCACTGACAGTGTGGCCTGAGTAAGAAGTGAAGCCTTTGTCACTTTACATTGCTCAGTGATTTTCTTTTTTCTTTTTCTTTCTTTTTTTTTTTCAGCTGGGCTGTTCCATAGATGTGCAGTTTGCCATTTCTTTGAAGTTTGTATATCTTTCTTGTATATAAAAATTTCTGTCTGAAAGACTGATGACCAGGAATCTCTCTGACCTGTTACACGCTTTAAGGCAAGAACAGAGGACAGAGAGAATTACACGTGTTCTTTGGGGAGGCAGGTCAAAGCTCACGTGGGCAGTCTGTCAAAATCTCTAAAACAAATTTAAAATTAGTAGTCATTTCTAAAAGTGCTGTTTTCATAATAAGTGCTTGACATTGTAAATTGAAATCATAGAGGTCAGATTATTATTATAAGTGGGAATTGCCGGGTTATAAAATAAGAACAATTCAGCAAGTTTTGGAGTGAAATTCTCGCCTGTGCTGAGGGCCAGCACAAAGCCTATGCAGAATTTGAATCCTCAAATTTGAATTTTGAGGATTAAAGTGGGAATACCAGCTTTAATCTTTCATTTCCTTTTGGCCAAGGGAGCAGTGTTGTCGCTGGAATGCATTAGGATGCTCAAAAAGATACTGGAAGCATAATATATTATTACTGATTTCCCTTGGTTTACTTAATTCTTGATATTGTTTATCAACTTGAAAACAGACGTGTTTTCCTTTCTTCCCACTATATTCCTGTGGTAAAAAATATAGCACTTCTGGAGTATTGCTGACTTGATCAGTGTTTTCTCATGGTTTCAACAGTACAGCATGCCAGCCAACTTCTGTCCATTGAACCTATTCTGTGTTGGAAGATAGCTTCTGAAAAGAAAAGGTGGAACAATCCTAAGGCCTCATGCAGTTACTGTGGATTTATCAGAAGTTTATCAGCTATGACTGAGGTAGTCAGATTTAGGTATGCAATTATTGTTTAACCGTCGGCTAAGCATTGTCAGTATACATATTAGGTACTCCTCCAACTACAGGAAATAGCACAAAATAAACTGCATTTTTTTGACTTCAAATCTTCATGCACCTTCCTGTAAAATGCTGACAAGTCTGAAATCTTCAGATGCCATAAAAGAGGCAACAGGCTTTGATCAAGCAGCTGCTCCTGTAATCCAATTTAGTGATGAACCTAAAGTTCTTGTGATCCAGAAGGATTCCTAAGCATTTTGCTGGTTTGTGAGCATGCATTTAGAAAGTGCCTTCTTCCTGCAGAGAAATGCAATGACTCTTTGGAGGAGGTGAAAAACTACAGCTGTTTAGTGGAATGCAGTAGCAATACCTAGCAGTAGGCACAGAAAGTGAAGGGAACATTATCTACATTTGGAATGGGAGGAGGAGATGAAATGTGAGCAGAATATAGCTGTCCAAATGCAAGCCAGATTGGCACTGGAGAAGCATTACTCTTCTATTTTTATATACAGTGACTGAAATTGAGAAAGGGCTGATTCATTCTTTCTCTACCATTACATTATTTATGCCGAGGCAAAACACATGTAAATATAATAGTTCTCATTGGGTGGAGTTTTACAGTCTCTTTGCGATAATAACAAACAAATACAGAATCATTCTTAAAATTCTTAAAAGATTGCAAATGATCCAAAACTTGGTCTTGTATTGTCCTCTGAGAGTGCGTTCCATTCTGTCTCTCATCAGGCCTTCTGTTATGCTCATGCGTGATCTAACATGATGCATATTAGGACAGCCACTCTAGCATCCTCTTATTATAAGACAAGATTTTTAAAGACACTAATGCTGCTAGTACCCAGTTCTGAACATAAATAGTTGGAACTTAGTTCCTACAGTCCACTTGGCTCATACCAAAATTTGTCCATTAATAGCTTTCTCTGTTTAGAAGTCTGTTCTCTGCCCTAGACTACCTTCTCAACAAATATGCATGTAGTTAGGTACAACTAAGAAAAATGAAATGACATTGTCACCTCCAAACTTCTGTTAACATTCTCAAGTTTCAGGTTTATGAAGGACTTGTAGCAGTGTGCGGAAGAAACATATGTGGAGAAATCAAGTACACAATGTGCTGCATAGTGGGAAAAGTTGATCTTTTTCTCATCGTTTATCTATCCCTAAAAACGTGGAGATTTAAGTAGATTTGATTATCAGATAACTAGAAAAGATGGCAATCCTTAGTCAAACAAGAGGATATTTGCTATGAGTTTCAATTTAATCTTTCACATACCTTTTTTTTAAACATAGGTTTAATTTATGTCTGACAATTCCTGCTCTTTACATTGAAATTCCAGCTTCATTGCCTTTGTGAGATGTGCAAAATGAAAGTTTACTCTCTGGAACTTGCAGTAGCTGTCCGCTTTCAGGGCCGGGGGCAGAACTGAGTCCAGACCCCTCGGCTCTACTGTTATTGGTGACTCTTGAGCTGCTCATGGTACCCACTTCTGCTGGACAGCTGAGATAATGGGAGAAGTGAGGACTGAAGAAACTGCTGATTTTCCATAGGCACTTCCCAAGTGTTGGCAATATTGATTTACTTTTCCTTTCAGAAGGACTGTGCATATTTGTGTTGTTGTTCACGATACCTGCTATCTCAGATCCTGGGCAAAGCAGAATGCTAAATACTGGTTTTGAACAAGTCATCAGACAGAGCAGTATATGGGAAAGTAGGGAACTTTTTAATGTATGGATGAAGTTTTGTTATTCTGCAGAAGGCAAGGTAGAAAACTTGTATTGGAAGGGGCAATGAATCATAATCATAGAAAAACAGGACGGCAAGAGCACTTGAGAGGGCAACTAGCTGTACGCTTGTCCAGTCATACAAAATTGCAGGTGGGTGGTCAGCAACATTACTGGTAGGGGTTCTTGAGATTCCCCATATTTCCGTCTCAGAGATGGTTACCCATAGGACTCATCTTATATGAGCAAAGAGAGACAATCAGCAAGTGGCAGCAAAGGAAGAGGAGCCAGAATGCACCCCGTCCTCTAACCAAAAAAATTATGGAATCTGATGCTTCACAAGTTTTCCCACTCCATACTCTGCCCTGTTCCTCTATTCCTTCCTTTGTGGTCCTGCAAGCAGCCACTAAGGGCAAATAGGGAGGGGATATAGGAGGTGTGGGGATACAGGACTTTCAGTGGCTGCTCTGACTCAGGAAATGAGGGGTTTAGAGAAGCTTCTGATTCATTTTTTCAGGGCAATGCATTACCTCCTATATTTCTGTTCTGTTTCCTCTGTGAGTTTTTTCCATGGGAGGGGACAAGTGGATAAAATATCTCGCCCCTGTGTCCTCTCTGAAGGTACCAGCCATCTTCTTTCATGCTAATTTCGTTGACTGATGTAATCAGACCAGCTACCAATTGGAGTGATCTCGGTAGCCTAATTCTGTACCTGATCTCTGCTTGTTTGTTCTTCAAGGTCTTTGACAGAGTCCGAGAAGATTGCCCTAATTTCCACGAGAAGATTAAGCCTATTAATGCTGAACTCACTCAGCCCAAGCTGGCCATCAGCGCTGAAGATGAGGGGGAGCTTCTGACCCGGGTCAATATTGTCTTCCACTGTGCAGCAACAGTTCGCTTTGATGAACCACTGAAGTATGTCCCCCTTTCTCTGCTTTCTGTATTTGCTAAGCACCGTTCAGATGCTCACTACATTGTATTAAGATAGTCCAGATTCAGAGCACCTCTGGTGTGGCTGCAATAATAATTCCCCATGTAAGTTTTCGTAGTGCATGTGGTTCTGGATTGAATATGCAATGTAAGTGCTCTGAAAATGTCATGTGCATATGCACATCAGAAATGAAGTGTCTTGGCAGAGTTACATGGGAGCAGAAGGAAGTACTGGAGTCTTGCGTTAAGGTGAGCTAAGAGTAAAGCATGACCTAAAATTGGGATAGGAAAAAGCGTGCTTTAGGTCAAGAAGGAAATGTTTTGGCAGAACTAGCCAGAGACTGCTTGAAGTGGAACTGTGACTCTGACTCTAAAGCTTATCTTAATGGCCTTTCTTTGTCATCTAAGTAGCTGAAGAGGGAAATGATATATTTTTAGGTAAATGACTGTCACAGGTTTTAAAATACCCAGGATTCAGTATAGTTAGCTGTTTAAAATAAATGTTCAATATCTGAGAGAACTCCCTTGAGAAGTGTCTGTCTGGGCAGGCATTCTGATAAGAAAGAACAGCCCTAAACCAAGCAACTAAACCTGGACCAAATGTGTAAGCACTTTTATGCAAATACTAAATCTACAAACCAAAGTGGATAATCTCGAGTGCCAGATCTTGACAGTTTTTGAAAACACGCAATTATTGACAATCTTCATTTGCTCCTAGGTGGGTTAGATAGATAGATAGATAGATATCTGCTGTGTCCACCCTAAATAATTACTTCTTGTAACAACTAATTAGAGAACCCACAAGACGAAAACCAGCTCTTGATTTACTCTTGGCTTGTGTATAGAATCTGGCTCAAGATACAACAAGCAAAGCACTGCACTGCTTTAGTAATCGTAGAAGTTCTTAAATCAATATAGGAACAAGTATACTATAAAAATATGCCACAGTAACGTCAAAGGGAAGCTACGTTTAAAATAAGGAAGATCACTAGAAGGAAATTAAAAGAAATAGTTAAAATGGTCATCTGCTTGCAGGCAGGGTGAAGACTGTTTAAAGGCTGCTAACATGTTATCTATCAAAATCTCTCTAACGGATCATGGAAGATTGAGTATAACTAAAAAGCAAAATATAAGAACTTGTTAGATTAAAGGAGCTACCCTTCAAAAGATAATTTGGGTTTGAATGGTAAAGTGTATCATAAGAGCAAAAATTCCAGCAAGTTAAATGTGCAGCTCAAAAAAATTTTGAGCAACATCCTGCTAAAGATACAAAAACTAATAATATTTTTTAAACACATCAGATGTCTAAAGCCTGCTGCAGAATCTGTAGAGTCAATAGACAGATGTAAAAAACAGTGCTATGAAGACTTAGGAAAAGCAGTACTAGAGAAACTAGATGAATTATTGGCATCAGTGTACAGTACACTTAGGGAATTCTCCAGATGGAACTCTTGGGGCAGAAATCTGAGAAACTGTGTTATAATGGAATGTTAGTAGATTTTAATGGTAGTAGTTTTTAATATAAATACCAAAAATGAAGAGTAACAAATCACCAGGGTCAGATGGTATTCCCGTGGAAGTCTGAAGGAACTCAGAATGTCTCAGGAGAAATGCAGCGCCCATAGACTAGGGAAAATGTGGGCCCGCTGCTGAATGGGGCGGGTGCCCTGGTGACGAAGGATACAGAGAAGGCAGAGTTATTAAATGCTGCCTTTGCTTCAGTCTTCACTGCTAAGGCCAGTCCTCAGGAATCCCAGACCCCAGAGACAGGAGAGAAAGTGTGGAGAAAGGAAGACTCTCCCTTGGTGGAGGAGGATCGGGTTAGAGATCTTTTTTCCAAACTTGACATCCACAAATCCATGGGCCCCGACGGGATGCACCCCCGAGGGCTGAGGGAGCTGGCGGATGTGATCACTAGGCCACCTCCATCATCTTGGAAAGGTCCTGGAGAACAGGAGAAG